AATAGAATAGAATAGAATAGAATAGAATAGAATAGAATAGAATAGAATAGAATAGGAGTGGGTGATGGACTACAAAGTCTGTAAAATGATTAGAGCAGCCTTTGCATCTAGTCAATCTGATGAATTGAAAAGAATAATGGACAGAGCATTTCCTGGAGTAGCATCTGTGTTGCGTTCTTGAAAAAACAGGATTTGCTAGAGGGAGGTGATCACGTTAATTTTCGGTGTTTGGATCAGAACTGTATTTTGAAAGGCTTGATAGCAAGGAAAAGCAGAGCCTTTTCAGTGATGGCATTTTTACTGTATTGTAAAAAAAAAAAAAAAAAAGGAGAGGATAATAAGGAGGAACAGAATTGCCAGAATTGTTTCATAAACAGTTTGATAGCAAGAAAAGGTAGAATCTTTGGCATTCTTGTTGTTAGTGGACTCTCCTTTCTCTAGAGAAGCTCATAATGCAAGTTTCTTGGGACTTGTAGGTGATATTAAGGGCATTTAGGAAACAGCTCTAACTACTATTTGGATTAATAATAGAATTTTACTATGTGGCTGTTTTACATTTATTTTAACTATATGCTTTGTTCTTGGACTGACATTTGATATAGTCCTGATCTTTGAGCTCCACCTTCTGAAATCGTGTTAGGGCAGAATGAAAATTTGCTTATCCACCAAACTTCCCCCTTACCCACATTATTTTGCCATTTGCTCACACGTATTTTGCCATGCATTCACAAAATGCATATACAGTGTTAATCAGTACAATAGTTTATTACATTGTATTAAGTGAAAAGCATGAAAGAGATTTAATATAACAGTTTCTAGGTCATAATAATAAAACAGAAAAATCTACACAGATGGTTCAACATATGCAGCATATAATAGCAGTTTATTAAAATACTTGTTGAAAATAAGGTTTTCCTGCATAACATTCTGAAGATAGAATCTCTCAATGATTCTGTTATTTTAAGAAAAGAGAGAGTCAAGGTATTCCAGAGTGTGAGGGTCACCACTGGGATGACAAGTTGTGGGCCCCCACTCCCCTCACCTCACATGTGATGAGGACCCTCAGCAAGGACCCTTCCCTTCAAGAATGCACATGCCAGTGTTATTACCATCTTCAAAAAGGGGGAAAAGAAGAACCAAAAGGGTTGTGGAGTGATATCAATATCTGAAAAAATTCCAGAGCAGGTAAAAACAGGTTCATCTCTAAGCACCTTGAAAACTATGCAGTGATGGATTTATTAGCATGGATTTATCAAAAAGAAGTCTTGTCAGACTAATCTTGTTTCATTTTTTTTAACTATTAACTTTCTTAATGGAGTATGGGAATTACTATGGTAAATTTCACATCTCAGAGCATAAACGTAAGAGTCCCCTTGGCAATAAAGTAACTGGAGATGCAGAAATTATTTTAATAAATTAATATCTGAAAGTACTGAAGAAAAACGTATAGTGACCCGGGCATCTAGTGATATGCAGATAGTGTACTTTGTATCCCTAACAGAAGAACGCCAAGACAAAGGACTTACCATTGTAGCAGTGAATGGAATATTGTCAATTAAGGATGATGCCAAGGCAGAGACCCAGAGAACTAAAATGATAGCAACTGTCAAGCGTTGATCTTCGGGGACCACCTGGCAGGCAGGCAGGAGGGAAAGGAAGGATTAAATATAGGGCCTTTTTTCATGAAAGCAAATATTTTGCAAATAAAATTGTCATTGATTTATCCTGCTATAACTCAAATTAAAATTCTGCAGGTTTTATATATGAGTCAATGTTACATAGGTAAACTTTATTACAGTCTTTGACCGGCATAATAGAAGTCATTGTTTTAAACCTTTTGTTTTAAAAACTCAAATCCAAATATATACACGAAAAATTGCATAATAATCTGATTCAGCAGAAATAAGAAAAATACACAGAAATATAAAATTACATAGAAATATTTCTGACAGTTTCTAACAGTTAAACTCCAAATATTTCTGGGGAAAACTAGCCCAAAACTCACAGGGACCTTTTCCCAGTTATGGCTTTTTACTATATAACTAACCAGCCAGCTTACTGGTTAGTTATATATTATATATTATATATACAATAATATAATTAATAACATATTATAACATATATATATTATAATAATCCAGAATCATCTTGATTTCCAAAAAATGCCATGAGAGTCCAAATAAGCCCCATAGATGTTCTTGGAACATTGAAATCATGGGGGGCTCTGGCTGAGGGCTTGATTATAGTTGTGGCTACCTGTCTCCCCCCTCAAAAAACAAAACTCAGTTGGAACTACTCCTCAGGGGGGCTAGTATGATTGGTAAGAAGCAGCCTTACCAGCTTGTCTTCTTAACTGCTATTTTGAAGTTGTTCATCTGCACTGTTGCAGCTATTTTGTGAATGGGCAACACTCCACTATCTTTGAATTCTCATGATGTGCTTTCAAACTGTCAAATATCTTCACAGGCCCAAAGGATAGGAAAGGGTTCTCCTACATCCAAGGGTCTAAATCTGACTGCCCTCCCTGAGGGTAATAGTAGCCTGAGAATGATAATATCCAGATCCAGTACTGGGGATTTCTTAGGAAAAACTCCCTGATTCCCAAGTTCCATCTTCAACTAATTCAACTAAGAGAAAAATCCCAGGATTTCATTGCTGGGGCTAGGGCTTGCCTTTGAATCTAGGATTGTATCTCTGATAGCAGAACATAATCATTAATTTAATACCATCAGTGTGAAACAAATATAGGTATTTTATCCTTTCTAAGTTAAAAAAAATGTATTGTAAACTATACCTTTATCAACAAAGCTATTTGTTCTCCTATGTATTCTATTAAATGAAGATGAGCCAAAGCCTAATTTAAAAAAAAAAAAGGAAAGATTTTAAATGAATTCAACAAATAAAATATGCATTCTAAATGTTTAGACAAAATTGCCCACTTGCAAGAAATTACTAATCCAGCAAGTTAAAAAATAAATAAATTTCTAACATTGATTACACATTTAACAAAAGTTAGTAAGATAGAATCTGGGTTCTTTCTGTCTCCCCAGTAACTAAAACAAGCATGTGTTTTTCCTTAAGAAAACACTTCAGTTTTCATTTAATATGGGTTCTCAAGCAGATTTTTAAAGCTCAGAATTGTTTACACCATAAAGGAATTGTCATAGTCTAGCCAAGTTAAGAAGATTAAGGTCAGTAGCAAAGAACTCTAGGTTCATTCCCTTGGACCCTATAAATCTGGAAAACAGCTTCCATGGAGTGTAGACAATCCTTCACTAGATGGACCAACAGTGACCTAGCATTAGGTAATCTGTAGATACTGAATTAAATCTGCAATCACATTATATCAGTACAGTAGTTGTAGCTAACTGACTGAAACTCTGCAGAACCTGAGAACATTCTAAGAGGGATTTCCCAGGAAGGTAGATGCTGATCTGATTATGACCCTCTTCATATATTATAAATGGTTTATGTGTAATTAAAAGGAGGGATATTGTTAGCTATGATCCTGGACATTTACATGTTGAATATGGGCAGATGATTAAAGTATAAATTTATCTCATAAGCTTCATTCAAGTGCAAAGACATTTCATAAGTCTCAGCACTGGAACTGTTGTATGGAAGTCTCTATGCATTACTTCAGACATCCCCACTCAACATTCTATTGGCAGGCGAGGCTGAAGAGACATGCTAGATGTAAAGCTGGCTACCAGCTTGGCTGGCTTCAAAAAAGGGTTGGACCAATTCATGAAAGGCATGGGAATCATTGGCTATTAGCCTTGATGGCAGTTTGACTGTCTCTGAAAGTCATCTGCTGAGAGACTAGTGGCTTTCTTGTACAATTTGTCAGCCACCGTGAGAACAGATTGCTGGACTAAACGGGGTCCGGCCAGCAGGGCACCATTTACATTCTTATGTTCTTATCATGGGATAGGGAAGTTACACAGTCAAATCAGAGTTATAAAAATGTTTGTGGCAAACAATCCTGCCTTGAAACCATATATAAATATCATTAACAAAGGAATCTGGTCACAGTGAATCATACCAAGGAGAATTGAATGTATGTTTAATAATATCTGAAAAATGAAGAATGAGAAGGCTCTTGCTGTCACTCTCTTGCCATTAGGCAAGTTTATCCTAGGATTTTGAATTAAAAGCTATTATTTACAGTAAGATCTGTAGAGTCCTTGGTGCTCTCTGAGCTTGATTGTTTGCTTGCAGACGTTTCATTACCCAACTAGGTAACTTCATCACTCTAAAGTTCAACCCTGAGCTATTGTATTAGAACAGTAAGATCTAAAACTACCCAACTGAGGCCTAAATAAATATGAGATGAGACTGCTGAAATGGCTTAATCCAGGAAGTAATAAAGTCCAGAATACCTTTGAGCATTTGTTCCTACCATCCCAAGTTTTTCCCTACCCAATCAATTCATTCACAACATGTAGCATAACTAGAAAATGTATACAGATTAGTAGTTTTGACTTTATATTTGAACATGCTGCTCTGTAAGCCAGACTTAATCAAAAGGTAGTGATGCAAAATTTTATTCCCACTTAGATTTAAATTTCAAGTTTCACACATCAGATCACTTTCATGAAGCAAATACATTGCTTTACTGCTTGGACACTAATATTTCTACCGGAAAATTGTATGCAATTCTAGTTCTGAAACTATCTGAGACAGTTCTGCTTAATCAAATCCATTTCTTGATGCATTGTGGAGAAACAGAGGAAAGCAAGCTACATTTTATGTATTGCCTCCCTGCTTTGGCCTGGTTCAGGAACAACAACATTCCCTCCAGCTTTTTGGAAAAACTAAAAGAGAACATACAAGTCCTTAGGCACTGATTTCACAGCAACAAAATATACCATAAAAATAATAGTTATTTCTTCAACTGGTCTGCAGTTTGTAACTCATATACCAACTAAACATAACTTTTCCCTTGTAAATTTCTATGTTTTTGAGAGAATTTTTCTTCTTTGCTTTACTCCAAGTTATTTCAGGCAGCGTTGTTGGTTTAGGTAATCCCATGGTCATAACTCAGCAGGTCTGCAAAGCCTTTGGTCAAATTTTCCTTAGGTAGAAATTAATGATCTGTAGCCAAAATCAGGCTCCTTGCTTACTTTGGATTAGTATTTGATATGTCTCTTGCCAACTGCAGACAATATCTTTTGCCCTCAGTCCTTCCTCTCTCTCTATTTTCTTCATGAAAATAGTATTCTGTTGATGACCCTTCCTCTACCCACAAGAAAATGCTGAATTTTTTTGATATGGCAGGCATTCAGTTTTAATTATTGGTATGTAAAAGATAGACTTTCTTCATTTTACATATGTTTATCTATTATAACTGCAAATCCACACTGCCAGATGACCTATGGGAACTTTCCCAGTTTTGCTGGCTCTCTCAGTACCTTTTGTTAGGGGACCAGCTTGGAAGTGGGGGCATGTTTTTTTAGTCTTTTTTTTAATCCTTCCTGTGGGGCCAGTTTTAGTTGTTGCGGGGGGGGGGGAAGTAGTTATTTGTGAGGAGGAGAGAGAATTCAAGTCTGGTGAAGCTCAGGAATGAAGTACCACCAGGGTGTTTTAGTAGCTACATGGACCTACTGGGAGAGGTCATTAGTCAGCATAGAATGAGATATTCCTAAAATGTGGATGATATTCAGTTATACATCTCCACCTTCTGGCTGAACAGGTTATACAGTGGAAGTTCTGAACCTAGTGTCTTGATGCTGTGATGGCCTGGACAGGAAAAAACAGGCTGAGACTAAATCCTAGTAAAATAGCATAGCCATGAAGGCCTATTGGATCTAGGAGTATTCTATCTTTAACTCTACATTGGGTCCTGTTTCCCTATGCAAATAATTTGTGGGTTCTCCAGGACTCACATCTTCTGGTGGAATAGCACGTGGAGGCTGTGGCCAGAAGAGTCTTTGCACAATTACATTTTCTGTGCCAACTGTGGCCATTTCTGGACTGAGAAGTGTTTTGAATGATCATTCATGCCTTTGTCACCTTATGGCTGGACTACTTAATTTGCCCTACAGGGGGATTACTTTGAAGATCATTTGAAAGTGTCCATTGGTTCAACATTCAGCTACCCCTGCAGGTATGGGCAGATCAAATTTTGCCAACATAACACTGCTACTCAGGAACTGCAGTGGCTACCAGTTGATGTCAGCCTTACCAGGTAGACCAGACAGGAATCATTACCAGATAAACTAATTCTACTTTATTGTAAAGCCACATTGACAGAATCTTATAAGTCTGAAAGTACAGTTCTCCCTCTGTCACCTTTACAGCCCGAAAACGTAGGGAGAGTCCCTCCTGAGCCTCTTGCGCCACCCACTATGCAGCGGGCTATGCTGTCTCTTATCTGACCATTTCCTAGGCAGCATCTCTTCACCCCATTTCCCAAGGTCTTTCCCACATATCATTACAGTTAGTTTCTGGGTGCAATTCAAGGTCCTCATTGCTATCTTTAAGGGCCTTCATGCCTCAAGGTCTGATACCTACCAAAATGCTTTCACATTAATTAATAACATTAATGAGGACATGCTTGATATCACCTCCGTAATGAAGTGATGATACTATCAAGATACTCTAAGTCATTAGTGGTGAAATGGCATAATATGCATTTGTACCATGGCTGTGACTAACCTATCTGGGGAAACTTGTCTATCTGAACAACATGTTTATTGTAACAAACACAGATGAAAAACTCATAAATGCACACTGCCACCTATATGTACGCTGGCAAGCATACAGCCCACAATGTGCCTGTTAAAATGTGTGGTCCAAATTCAACTATCTTTTGATCTCAGATATTAATTGTACCAGTGGATGAATGAAGAGCATTAACCAAGAATAAGAGTCAAATATGCAATAGTACAAAATGTGAAGGAAGTACCCAAAGGGCTGTGCAGCAATCCAGATTTGAAGGGGAAAAGCATCTTCTCTTTAAATCGTATGTGTCTTCTGCTATACACAGCACAAAAATCATCTAAAAATAACCTTGACTTCTACTAGTTTTAACCTGTTAAAGATTATTTCTCTGTTTCCCTGTTAAGTGAAGAGGTGAATACTCAGTGAGGTATGGCAGTAAAAACAACAGAACAGTTGGAGCTATGATAAGTTCTGCAGAGAAACAATTCAGCTAAAAGCCATTAGTGTAGCTCAGCTGGTAATATAGAAGCTGAGTGTGGCATAGTCAACATTCCAGAAGAAAATTAGGCTTGGAGATCCAATTCACCTGCAAGGTTTACTCAACTATGATTGATGGAAACATTTTGAGTTTATTTTCTCATGCTGTTATCCCACCGGGGAAAAAAAGGCATATGTGTACCTCTACCAGCATAGTTAAATTTAGCTTGATTAACTTAGTTGCATGTACATATGCAGTCCTTCCCCGTGTATAAGATTTCTGACTTGGCACTGTGTAACAATCCCTTACTGTATCCTAAAAATTATTGCTAGTTATTCTGCTGCTACTTGAATTCAGAGGTTTGCCCTTTCCTAGAATTTTTGGTCAACCTGAATATTAATGACACAGAGGATTAAAAACATAGGAGATGCATTTTGTCTTAAAATTGGAAGGAAGTAGAAATCACAACACTACAACTGAAGAAGGAAGGAAGGAAGGAAGGAAGGAAGGAAGGAAGGAAGGAAGGAAGGAAGGAAGGAAGGAAGGAAGGAAGGAAGGAGAAAACTAGCTAGCTAACTTTAGGTAAAATTGGAAAGTGAAAATTCCAGATTTATTTTACATAGTAAGAAGTTAAAGATCGTGTCAACCAGCCTGCTTAGGGTACATATACTTCCTTGTAAAAACAATAAGATGGTAGGCAGTAATTATAACAAGTAAAATAAAAAACATGACATGGGAGCATGTCTTCTACATGCAGTGGCAGGTTGGTGAGCACAAGAGTAAAACACCTATCCTCCTTGCATACTAAACCTCCTCCTTTTTCTACGGGGTTTAAGATTACTCATTCTACTTCACAGGTAATAGAAGTAGAAACAATGTTTCTCTCTGAAAATTTATAAATGTAACTTTATTTCATTTAATGCAATAAAATGCAGTAAAAATTAGGGCAACTTCCTCATGATTTAGGGGCTGTCCTGACAGAAAAACTTATCTGGTCTACCTAAGCAGTTATTCTGAAATATTTGGGTTAGGCAAACAAAAAATCTGCTAGATCAGTAGACTATTCTTTCCTGATCGCTTGTATTGATCTGCCAGGTTCATGGCTGCAGGAAAAAGGGACAATCTCTTATCCTGGAATTCAGTGGTATGTTCTGTAACACTAGTGTCTAACTAAATTGTGGGTGTTCTTATTTATAAGCAATATACATAGCCAGTGTTCTACAGCTCCCCTGAATTCTACTTTATAAAGCTTTGCAAATAATACCTAATCAAACAGGTAAATCTACTGCAACCATATTCTTCTTTCAGCAGTGGGATATGAACTGTAGCCTTTCCAGTTGGTCAGGATGATCACACTCATGGTGCACCTCCTTTAAATGCCTAACTTATTATCCAATGTAAGGTATGTATGTAAGCGTAGATAATAATGTCTTTTTGCATTAATTACATTGCAAACCAGATGATTGTTAACTGATTTTATTCTGCCTTACTTATAAGTGCAGGGCTATTTTTTCCTCTTATCCATAGTTATATTTATACTGAAGGGCTTGTAATTTCTTTTCTTTTAGAATGTATGGATTCTTGCCTATATCATCATACATACACATACATCAAGTAACTATCAAAGGTGAAAATTTATTTGGTAGTTTATTTGGTAGTTGTAGCATCATCATCACATTTGGATGGACAGACTAGCTATAAATATAAACAGCTATAAATGTCAATAAAAAGTAGTCATACTTAATATCTATTATTTTTATTGAATTAATTGATTAATCAATTAATCCAATTTCTATGGCCACTCATCTATCCTAGACTTGATGTAGGGTCTGACCAAAGTAGAATACAATAGAAAGATCATTTCTCATGATTTGGAAATTATAGGTCTGTTGATGCAGCCTAAAACTACACATGCCTTCTGTGCAGTCACATCACATTACCATCTCATATTCAATTTGCAATCAAATCTTACTTTTTCATCAGTAGTAATCCCAACATGGGTATCCCTCACTACAGTATATACCCATCCTGTGCGTTGGATTTTTGTTTCCTAAGTGAAGAAATTGGCACTTTTCTATGTTAATTACAATTCTGTATTTGCAATCCTTTTGTCCAACCAGTCAAGATAGTTTTTGATTTTTTTTTTCTGTAATGTATGGTATTGGGTATCCCACCCAATTATGTATCATCTGCAAATGTGATAAGCATGCTCTACCTTCATCATGAATGAAAATAATGAAAAAGTCATGAACCGAGGACAAATCCTTGTGACATCATCCCACATCTTTCTAATGTCTGTCTGATACCTCTCTCCAATATAATGTGTCTGCTTTTTAAAAATTTAGAAAAAGTAGCTATAGGAAATCCCAATAAGGATCAGTATTTTTCAGTTCATTCATTCATACAATAAAACATTAGTAGATATTTCAGAACAGGATGGTTTAGTCCTTATGTCAGTTGCACCATAAATAATAGCCATCTTTATTTTTACTCATTAAAGTGAGTGACTGACATTCACATGTATGAGAAAAAGGAAGCTACTACATTTGAGGGCACTGCTGAAGTCACAACAAAATTGTGGACACCTTCATGCTGCCATTGTACTGAGGAACAAAGTTGGCTTTTTCCTTACCAGACCTTTAGCTCAGAAGTCAGGAATAAGAATGAAATCACGCTAACTCCAAAAAAGCAAAATCCCAATACCTAGTGTTGCACCTGTTTTAGTTATAAGCACACTTGAATTAGAAAGAAATAATTTCAGCAGTCTAATTCTGTTAACATTGTAGATTCTTAGAGATCTGGAGTGTCTTTCAAATTAGCACAGTATCTTCATTCAGAAGTACCTTTATCCTGAATGTTGCTATCACATCAGAACAGGAGTTTAGTCCAGGGCCCTCCATTCAGCAGAAAGATAAGGTGGGGGAAGCACAGCTTACCACATACAATGTATATTACTATCTAAAGAGTTCTACCAAGTGAAGCAGTACTTATTCTTTACAATGACCAGAACTACACAGCATGCCTTGCACATAGGAAAGTGGGAGCACAATGTATTTTTCCATATAGTTACCCGACTCTATCCATTGGCAGCAGAGGAATTTTCTAGGCTGGATGGATATAACAACTAGATACAAATGTTCTTCCTTTCTCTTTCTAAGGTTCTTAAACCCCCCTAGCTCTAATGCTATATCTCTTTCGCCTCGCAGCAAGCCTCACTGAACTTACTTTTGATTAGACCGATAAAACACTGAACTGCGAAACACAGTACCCAGGGAGAAATGCAGAGGAAGATTTGCTTAATTCACTGAACTCAAAGTAAAAGGCTTGCTATCTGGGACACAGCTGAAAGACAAATCGTAGCACTGATCTTGGCTTTACCAGATCTTCCCTTGCATAAGATTACTTTCTGTAAGATGAATAAATAGCTGCTGTTCACTTCTGTGGAAGGAGTAAAGGCCTGCCCTTAAGGAACCCATTGCCCTGTACATCAGGATTTCCTCTTCAGTCCTGATACTAGACAGCAGTAACTAAGAATATCTGGAGAGCAGTTTCCAAATGTTCCTTTTACTTTACACAAATTTGGAGTGCAGGAATAGACCACTTCACTTCAGGCTGAGGGCTACACAACTTTTGAGCAGCGTTGTGGGATCTATGCTCCAAAACATAGCTGGCCAAAGGAAAAAGTAGTTGGGACCAGGGCAAAAATAAGATTAAATTTTATTGCCTTCATTAAATGCAATTAACATGGTTATTCCCCATATATTTCATACATTTCCCCCTTTATCACATTCAGTCACATTTAGTGACAACTTTTGCAGAGGCTCCACAGGCTGCGCCTGATATATACCGAGGCCACATGAAAGTTTATGTATCTTGGATATTACAGAATCTGGAACCAAATCAGAACTAGTTCTGGAAAATTAACATGGGTAGTTTCCAGTTTAGTTTGCACCCAACACACACCCAAGGCACTTAGTCCCTATATCCAGATCAGACCAAGCACAAGCTCCATTCCGTATAGCTAGCAAAATTGTAGCTGTGTTAAACATCAGCACCAGAATATTTAACAGACAAAAACGGGATTAAAAAGCAAGCAAAAGCAGGGAGAGCAAAGAGGCGTGAATAGCAGGCAAGCATTGACATCATCTGTCTATCAAGAGACGCAACACTGTCATTGGACAGTCCCAAAGGGAAGCGCCTTTGGTTATTCCAGCCTGAACCTTTTTATGTACATCAGCGTTGTCCAAACTTGGCCACTTTAAGATGAGTGGACTTCAACTCCCAGAATTC